GTGTGTTTCTCTCTGCAGTACTGCTGAGCTTCATTCCAGGTCTTTTCCAAATTAATGTAGTGATACTGATAGAGCTGACAGTCCATTGCATAATATTGACCTAAAACATCAGAAAATGTTGGTGAAGTTAATCACAGGGTAGATTTTAAGTGCAGCATGGCAATTACATGTTAGATTTTATGATATTTTTATTCAACACAAATTTATGTTACCATCCATTGGTTCGCTAGGAGATAATTGAGTTGTATTATTTATTTAAAAAAGTCAGCAACATAATTCATGCAGAGACACTTACTCATCCAAACGAGCAGAAGCAGATTGAACCTCATATTTGATGTTAGTCGTTGTATCTGATGTCGTCTTTTCACAGATTTGTCTCTGCTGGAGAAAACATGTAAAATTTGAAAAATAAATTTAAACATGAAAAAAAGCTCAGCTAAGATAAAACTCAGTCTTCATAGAAACTTTCTTGAAGATTTATAATAATTTGATAAAGATTTACTGAGGATTTTACCAATATGTCTGTTTTAGTGTTTTAGGGAAACACAGAGGATTCTTGTGTCCAACCATAAGAACTTTAGATCCTTCTCAAAAAGATTTTAAAAATTCATTTAAATTGACTTTCACATCATTAAAGCATGAATCTGTTCATATAAGGAGCAGCAAGAACAAAGTACTACAAATATTAATACTAATATGAAGAATAAAGAAAGCAAACGTCCAATAAATACATATCCTTTACCCAATTTATAAATGGATACACATTTAATAAAAAAATGAATCAATAATCTGAGCTGAGGATAAAAACTTACGTCTGCAGCCAGTGGCTATGTTGTGTTAATGTTGCCTCAATGTCTGTTCAGTTCCATCTGACATCTCATTTGTAGACCTGGGCTTTGGTGGGAGGAATTTGAATATTCAAAAATGAACAAAAATAAAAAGATATTTCAGTTTCCCTATTTGTAGCATCAAAAGGGGTCAATGTTAATGGATTTAAAGTTATTATGTTTCACAAATAAAACTTTCACAGTGAATGAAACATTAAGTTGACGTTAACATATTATCTGTCTGTTGTTTATTGGAAGATTTATAAAGTCAGAGAATAAAAAAATGTTCAAATCAGCTTGATCTTTCCATTTAGCCTTGCTATGTGAAAGAAACAGACAACCAGTATTTCCTCATAACATAAAGAAAAAAAGAACGTTCAGAGGGTTTTCTATGAGTAACATTGAAACAACCATCTGTTTGGAAACACATCAGAATAGTTAGATGGAACATCATGTCCATCTCATTTACTGCTTACTGTAGTATTTTTATCCTGGATCTCATGCATAGTGTTACACGTCTCTACTTATAGTGACAAATATAACAAATGATGTTTTGTTTTGTTTTTCCGTTTTTTTTCTTCTTCTGAAGACTTTCTGCTTTCCCTTGATCTTGGAGAGCCTGTAATGACGAACAGTCAGTGAGAGAAAGAAAGGACAACCGCCGTCTTCTTCCCCAAACTCTGTCTGAAGAGCGAGGGGCGGGGCTCCTCAATTCCGGTCTCCTGGTGAGACGTTGCCCGAACCTTCGTTACCCCTTTTTTTTTATTTTTTTTTATTTAAAACCCATATATGTAATTAATTGCAATACTATTAATTTCTGTGTGGTGGCGTATATTTTCTTAAACAGATTTTCTGGACTATCACCAAGTGATAATTAAATTCTCCCACTTTATGGTGTATCACAATAGCTTCTGTTCAACACTAGTGTTAGTATTTGAATATTTAAACATTCTGGCTAAAAATCTTCATCAGTCACGGAATTAAGTCAACGGTGTTTTTACTTATTTATCTAGAACAGGTTAAACAAACTATCAAAAGATTCAGCATTAGATTCTATAAAGTTTCTCACCATCAACATTTAACTTTCCACTTTTAATCAAATCCAGTTTAATCTCTAAGGACAACTTTTCCTGTTCAGTGTCACAGAACATGTTTTCTAATGCCAACTCTTTTTCAGTGTCTGCAGTATCTTTCATTTTGTCACCATCCATCTGCAGCGTTAGCCACCGTTTCTGATGTTCAAACGTCAAACTGGCATAAAAACACCTGAACTCAAACTGGGAGATTTTTCAATATCCAAAACACAAATTCCACTTAAAGTGATCTGCAGTTTTGTTTTGTTTAACATTATCTCTCAAACATTTATCTAAAATCTCAATCTAATAGGCTCTTTTCAGTAACTGCTCTTATGTAGATTTGTTCAAATCTCCTTTGATTGTTGCTCAAATATCGTCTCTTCTTCTCTCCTCAGTGTTTTTCTTCACATGGAAAAAACTAGAAAAGAAAAACCTGCTTTGGTTTTTCTTTCCACAACAAGGAAAACCTCCGAACATTTTAGGGTTTTTTTTTTTCTTATATTTTAACAAACTTCTTTTACATCTCATTTACGTTTCATTCCAAGCTTATTTTATTTTATTTTATTTTATTTTATTTTATTATTTTTTTTACAGGTGAAGCTACTTCCTCTGGATCATTCTTCCTGGTTCTCATGTATGCCTTCTATTCAGCACTAATGTCAGTATTTGAATATTAAATTACTCCGTCCAAACATCTGCTCCAGTCACGAAACTCGGAGGCGTTTTTTTATTTGCCACGACATGAAAAAACATTTTTAAAAACTTAAAGAGGATCCACAACATTTAAGCTCCATAAACTAAAATTGATTTGGTTTTCAGAAGCTTTAATTTCTTACCAAAAAGATCAGAAGAACACATTGTATTTTATTTTGTGTTTAAGCAAGATATTAAATAGATTAAATAGGTTAGGCTTAAGGAAAACTGCAGAAACAAACCCATTTATTTAACAGAGTACAGTTCATTCAGGGACCCTTAGATGAACAAACATTTCTTCGTTAAAGAGTTTCTATTTATTATCAATGGCACCAAATACAGGCATACAATGAAAATGACAGACTGAACAAAAAGCATATTTTTCAGATATTTTTCTCTACATACTTGTAGTTTTGACTAGCTGACTCTTTTCTCAAGTCAATAAAAGAAATATGGTTAAGAGAGTTTATCTCTTTCAGAGATCTGATGTCATTTTATGTGGTTTTTATGCATATCTTTTCTAAATTTATATGAAGCTTCTGCAACAACTTAAAAGTTGGGATGAATGTCAATAAATGCAAAAGAACTGATGAACCAAAACCACATTGCTCAGCCTGACTCTTGTTAAGCTGAAAAGAACAGAAAGATGTTCATTTCTTTCTTTTTTGGTCTTTTATGGTTTATTTACATCTTTATTGATATAAGCTGATACATTTGTGTCTTTTAATATTCAACATGCAAATACAAGTTTTTAACTAACATTAAATGTGGTCCTTCTTTAAGTCCAGAGCAATCGAACAAACAAAAAAAGATTTAAGCCCTGGAAGTTCAGATCTAATCTAATGACACCTGGTTAACAGTAACCATCCTGTTGGCCTCTACTTAGAACAGATGAAATTAAACTTCTCACTGTCTCTTTTTTTCCTCCACTTATGTTTTCCTCCCGTCTCCATGGCTCCAGACATGTCACAGTCGTCCATCGGTTCATTTGAGGCCCAGTTCGGATAGCTGACCACATCATCACTGACCCAGAACCACAAATCCAGAGTGCAGGCGTAGCTCAGTCCCATCCAGACATAATCAGTCGAGGCAAACTGGGCTTTCTGCTGGACAGATATCTGATCCTCCATGTTGGTGATGGTGACCAGGTCATGGTGGTGATCTCTGCAGTAGGTCAAGGCGTCCTCCCAGGTTTTATTTTCTTTGATCAGGATCAATTCATCTGTCAGACATTCACAGCACATATGAAATAACTCACACCTTATGTCTTAGGATGTTATTTATAAACAAGAACAATGAAATATAGCATGGAAAAACTAAAATATATCTGTGATTTGACAGAACATTTTGAAATTTCAAGTGTTTTGTACATTCATGATTTGCGATTTTTTTCAGAACACAAATTTAAAAATGCAAATGGGTAGATGAATAAATTCAACTGTTCTTTTTGCCACACAGTATTAATTTTGTTATTGTGGGAATTTTTACTAGAAAAACTCACCATCATAACAGATGAAAGGTTTTCTTTGATCACAGTTCTCATTCTTCCATCTGCCTCCATCATCAAACTTAATCATGGCACATTGACCATCATACCTTGCCTGATAGTCGAACCCTTTATTCCAGTGTCTGAAAGAGAAACTGCTTCCATCTGACCACCTCCAGGTGTCTCTGAACAGACCAGTTAAAATGTATGTATAACTTCCCACATGGCTGATTTCATTCTTCACTTCTTCATCCTCTATCTGCTTCGTTCCACTGATCAGGTCTGTGTGTTTCTCTCTACAGTAACTCTGAGCTTCTGTCCAGGTTTTATTTTCTTGAATCAAGTGGAATTTCTTGGATGAATTACTGTCTGTGTGATAAACAAAATATGAGCATCAGCTGAAATAAGTATTTTCTTCCCAGAATACAATCTTAAGTCAAATATTGCAGCAAAAATTCCATGTCCAAGTTATAGCTAAGTATTTTCTAATAATATATTGATTATTTTTAGTCTTTTACTTTACTTCTGATAAAAATAAAAATTTACATCCAAAATGCAGGATTGAAATTGAACCCTTAAAACTCAAATGTTCTCACCATCATAGCAGAGAAAATATCGAGGATTATTACAGGACAGGTCTCCCCACTTCAGGTTCTTCCATATGATTCCACAGTTCTGCCATCCAGTTTTATCATTTGGCTCGTTTGTGTTCCAGTTTGTCTCACTTTCATTGAACTTCACTTCAGATTGAGACCAGTGCCACTTTCTGTCACCATCTGTTTGATAATACAGACCAATCCAGGCTTCACTCTGATCTCCAGCTGACATGTTGATGAGTCTCTTCATGTCCTTCATGTTAGTCACTGTGACCAGGTCGGTGTGTTTCTCTCTGCAGTACTGCTGAGCTTCAGTCCAGGTCTTTTCCTCATTAATGTAGTGAAACTGATAGAGCTGAGAAACCACTGGACAGCATTGATCTAAAACAGAAAGAAAATAGTCAGTGGATTTAGTCACAAGACACTTTTAAAGTGCTGTAAGGCAACTACATCAAAGACTTTATTGGGATTGTATAAAGATGCCAACAACTAGAGTAAGTGGTGGAGACACTTACCCATCCACATCAGCAGAAGCAGAGTCCACTGCATTTTTGCCAGTGTTTTATTTTGACTGATTTGTTTCTGTTGAAAAAATAAAACATACATGTAAAATTCCCCCCAAAAACCTCCAAAATCTATCAATAAAAAATCTTTTTGTAGCTAAATGTAAACATAAATAAAATAAAAAGACTGTACTTCATGAAATCGTCTTAGAAGGTTCATGAGAATTAATCTTTTTTTTTTTTCTTTTTGTACATTTACTGATTATTTTATAGGTCTAGGGAAACAGAGGTCAGTTGTTTTCCACAAAAATCTGAAAAATAACCACAAACGTTATGAATTCACCATTGCATTGTTTTAACATACTTCTGTTAGCATAAAGAGCTTGGACAACTCAATGTCGCAAATATTACTTGTATCAACAATTGAATAAAGGAGAAGCCATTAATGTGGATCCTAATCACAAACAGACACACATCAGATAATAGATTTAAAAACTTACATTCAGTTAGTTTGTCTTGTGTTGAAGTAAATAAAGATGTTGGTGTTCTGTTGCAGACAGATCTGTTTGACGGCTCTGTTCTGCCTGACAGATAACTGACAGGGTGGGGAGAAAATTTGAATATTCAAATGTGCAAAAATAAACATCAGATGTCTAAGTTAACTAGATGTAGCTTCAAAATGTGTCAATATTGATAGATTTAAGAATAAGTCTCTTTGTTTAACATCTATTTTCAGTCAATCATTGTCATTTTGTTCCCAAAAATCAACGTGGTTACGGTGAACTAAAGTCCAGTTAAATATTCTCTCTGAAGAAAAAAATGTTTTTCTTTATGAAATGAGTTTCTAGTTCACTATGCAGAGTTCCTTCTGTACTTGAACAATAAAGCTGACATCTATAGTCAGTATTATATTTAAATGCATATTAAAACCTGTGACAGATTTTTTGACTATATTGAAATTAGTGTAATTTTCAGAACTGCAATGGAAACACTGTTTTCACATCACATGAGTCACTTGATAAGCAAGCATATTTTTATATATAAATATATGACTAAATGTCTCTGATCATCTAATGTTTTGTGATGTGATGTCTTTCACTGGTCTTCATCTCCATTTGCATATGATAATAATAAAAACTGATGTTTCCGCCTGGAAACTTTTCAGAGAGTAGCTGTCAAAAAACATCCCCCCCCCCCCCACACACACACACACACATTTGAAACGTGTATTTTTACCTTTCAAGCTCACAAAGTGAGGTATAGTGATTAATCAATGAATCAATTGATTTTTTTTCAATTGTAACCATTACTTTCACTTATCTTTTCTAATGTTTTGTGATGTCATGTCTCCTTCTGCTCTTCATGTCTCTGCAGCCATTTGCATGTTATAATAATAAAAACTGTGAGCTTGTTTCCTCATTAAGCTAAACTCAGAACAACTGACTGTTGTTTCTTCCTCCTGGAAACTTTTCAGAGTAGCCATAAAAGTCATAAAAATCAACACAAAGCAGAGCCTGTGAGTCTCCATTTACAACCTGGATTCATTTCCCTGAAGATGTTTCCTTCATAGTTGCTCATAGTGACACAAACATCCTGCTCTAACTAAAGGAAAACTCTGCTGTCAATAATCTTAATCACTGAGGAGAGAAATAAATGTCTTCAGGAAGCAAAGGATGCTGGGTGACTCGAAATGATCATAAGATTGACAGAAAGTAAACACAAGTTCTGTTTTTATATGTTTACTGAACTGAACTGAACTGAACTGTTTAGTTCCTGCAAAACAGGAACTAAATTAGGAAGGCCAGGCCTAGGGTGACATCATCTGACACACCTTGTCACACACTCAACACGTGTGTTTTCTTGCTTCATATGGAAACAAAGTGTCACTTGTTTTTCACCTTATGTAAACTGTATGTAGTCTTTGAACATTCATGTTAAAGATTCTCTTTGTGGCACAAAGTCCTTTTCTTCACTGTGATTCAGGGAAAAGGAAGAGAAGGATGGTGTTTACATCAGCACAGCTGCTTTCTATTGGGGATCAAAATAATCATGTAGTTTTACTTCAGTTGAAGAAATGTCTGGCAAACATGATCATGACAACAACTGGAGACACAAGATATATTATTAATAACCATAAGTGAGAAGTGCGTCATCAAATCGTTTGGTCCAGTCGTGCTTCAGGTAAGAGTTTTTAAGGAATATGCTTAATATGCAACTTCAAACATGTTTTACCTTTAAGTAGTTTGTGAGATCTGAATGTAAATAGCAACACTATTTTTCTGACTGAAGGGGCCTCATCGTTCCTTTGGTCTGCCAAGATGTTTCGGCTTCTTTGCAGTTTTCTGGAAGTTTGTTCCAGATTTGTGGTGCATAGAAGCTGAATGCTGCTTCTCCATGTTTGGTTCTGGTTTCTGGGGATGCAGAGCAGAACCAGAACCAGAAGACCTGAGAGATCTGGAGAGTTGATACAACAACAACAGATATTCAGTGTATGTTTGTGCTCATCCAGTCACTGATTGGTAAATCGTCCATTTCTACACCTACACTGCATACAGAAGTAGCAACTGATTTGGTTTGTCTGCAGCCAAAGAGACATAAAGAGATGCAACGTTTCCCTCAACAGTAAAGCAGCATGAAACAGGAAACACAGGGGGACCAGACCAAAGGTTGTGGTGCGCACAAGAAAGTAACATTCAGCTGTTCACACTCCCACACACTTTTTCTTATTGTTTTTTAACAGCAGCACAACGTCATCACCTGAGGATCTACAGCCAAACTTAAAGACCCTCTGGTTTTGCTTTATCTCTTTTTGAACCTGAAGCTCACAGCAGAGTGACTGTCGGAAACACAAAGACACAGCTTGACTTTTTATCTCTCCAATGGAATGGAGTAAAGTTAACCTTTAAAGTGTTACAGTTTTGATCTATCGTGTTGTAAAGTCTATTGCCTGTAGTCTAACAATGACAACTTCATTGTTGTGCAGACGCACTGAAACATCAAATCAAGTTTCTGCTGCATTTTCAGGCCAAATGTTGATCAAATTTGTATTTTTGCAAAGCCTTGGTGAATAAAAGAATATAAGAAGCTACTTAAAAACACTAATCTACCATCTGTTTGGTTGGTAATGCACACAACAAGGATTTCAGTGACAACGCACATTATGTTCAGAGGTGCAGAAACCGTCCCTTTGCACTGTGTAGCTGTTGGACAGGAGATGCGGAAGGAGGAAGTGTAAGAGTGGTCTGCAGAAGAAACCCACTGCAGAGGTACTAAAAAGAAGCAAACAGGATGATTTTAAAATTTTGATCCGAAAACTCCTGATCTCATCCAGAGTTTCTGCTTTAGTTTCATCCTCTCAGTCAAAGTGGAAAGTTTTCTCTGAAGTAAATCGTCAGTGTTGGATACGAGGATGGGTCACACTTTGCTCTGTGTGACATGTTTACTGTGTAAGTACTTCGCTTTTTCATCTGCACTATTTAGACTTTAAAAAAAAGTGTAAAAAGAGACGACTAGGACAGCAAAACATGAGATGAGAAGTTTTTTTCTCTTTGCTACAAGTTTTGCTTCAGATTAGAAATTCAATTCTTGATGCAACATTTAATTTAATTTATTTAGCTATTTATAATATGTTTATTTGACAAACAAGTTTATTATTATTATTATTTTTTGCTTAAGTTCTCAGCTTGCTGCTCTGCTGTGGAGACGTTGAAGGTGATTAAACATTTCTTCTGTCTTTTCTGCTTCCTTCCTTCACTCAGTTCTCATCAGCTTTCACAAGCTGCAGCCTTCCTTTGTAATGCTTCTCAGTAAAGTTAATCAACCTATCAATGGACTACTAATTAGTCATTTTATTTTGCAATATTTATTCATACCTTAGGACACTTTCAGATTAGAAAAACGGTTAGATGTATTTTACTGTTATTTCATTTGGCTGACCAACAGTAAGTAGATCAAAATGTATAAAAACGGGTAACACAAATATGTGATTTTCAAAGTTTGTTTTTTAAAATTAAAGTCTAAAAAGTGTACGATGGATTTGAGTTCAACCTCCCTGTTACAAGCAACCTTTGCAGCAACTACAAATGCAATTCTTTTCTAAGTGCTCTGCATGTTTAGCCAATGAAATGTTTTCTTTTCTGTTAAATTGCTTCAAACTTGGTAAGAATAGACGGGGTCTGTCCATGGAAATTACCACACATTCTGCAATGGGTGTTATGTCTGACGTTGGCCTGTACGCATGTTGATGGTTTGATCCGTGCTGATAACTGAGAAGTCTCCTTGCAAATCCAGATTAGCTTAAACTGAACAAATCCACAAATCCATTTGTGGATTTGTTCTCTGCTGTTGCCTCAGAGTTTTGAGATACTAGATATAAAAAAAATACTAAATTGTTAAATATTTTAACACTGTTGAAAGCTAAACAGGAAGTCGTACAGTAAGCTACAAGCAAAACAGGAAGTCTGCAAACCCCCCCTACCCACAGGCCTTAGACATCCGCCCGCCAGACTACTGTTTAAAGCAAATGCTTGAGTTGCTCTGGATTGTATCAGACAGTAAACGGAGCTCGATGCAAATATATGTCAGAGTTTTATTTGCCAAAGATTTGGAAAAACATTTAACATTTCTCTTCCACTTCTCAATCATGTGCTGCCCTGGGATGATCTGTAAATACGCATAAAAGCATCTAATGCACCACAGTTTGAGGGACAAATGTGAGAAATGACAACATGTGTTTGTCACACAGCCTGGGTGCCACTCCTCACGGTGTCTCCATCATGGCTGAGTCCAGGAGCCTCAGTGACTCTGAGCTGTAGGGTCAAAACCTCGTCGTCGAGCTGGGTGTTCTACTGGTACCGAGCTGTTCCTGATCTACCCAACAAGAACTATACGTATGAGCTGCTGCCTGATGGTATCAGTGGGACCGTCGAGGATTCTTACATCCTTCATGGACAGACAGACACAGCAGGATATGCATGTAGAGCCAAAGGAGGAAACCCAGAGGATCTGACTGGTTACAGTGAACCAAAGTTCGTCTGGTCTGAAGGTCAGTTCTGTTTCTCTTAGTCAAAGAAATAATTGTTCTGTGCATCGGTGTTGCTTTAACAAAAAATGTTCATTGTTATAGACACTGTTCTGTAGATGTTATGTCGGCTGTATGAAAACATAATATGTGAGTTTTATCGTTTTGAATGATAATGTAATGTCTGAGAGGTGGACAAAATCTATGTTAATATATATTTTTTTAACATTTAAAATTATTTTAAGTCAACTATGTGTTTTACATTAGATTTTTTTTTATTTGACTACCTAGTTTATCTGTAATGTTTGTGAATTCTCAACACCTTTAAAATGTAAAAGAAAAAAAAAGAAAAGAAACAATGTGATTTATGAAACTCTTTCATTTTCAGTGAACTTTCACCTTAATTTAAGTTGTTTTCTTTTTTACAACTCAGGTTCTCATCCAGAAGCGTCTCTCACAGTGAGCCCCAGAGGAGAGAAGCTTTTCTACCTACAAGATGTACAGTTAAAGTGTCAGGGATCCTCTGCTGCGTGGCGAGTGAGGAAGTTTGAAACAATTGGATATTCCACGTATTTATCGTACTGCTCCAGCTGGGGGACCATGACTGGATCCTCGTGTCGCTTTCTCAGTCTTTGGCCCCAGAACGCCGTGTTCTGGTGTGAGTCTGAAACAGGAGAGTTCAGCAACGCAGTCAACCTCACGTTACACAGTGCGTCATTAAACATTTTTCTCTATGCACTTAAATGGTTTATAAAACATACATTAAACAGATTTGTTTTAGACTATATATTGTGATATTGTGAGAGTTGTGTGCTGGAATATGGAATATGCATTTATGGTGTTTGTAATTTATCATATTTTAAGCTCTTGTTGTTTTTGAATATTTTATCAATACTATTTTATGCTTAACACATTATAGCATATTTCTGTTTTGTTTTGTTTTGTGTTTTGTTGCCATGAAAAATAATGTTTCTTTGTTCAACAGAGCCTGAATCTGTCCTCACTGTGTCTCCATCATGGCTGAATCCTGGGGCTCCAGTGACTCTAAGCTGTAATGTTAGACCTCCATCTGTAGGATGGAGGTTCTACTGGTACCAAGCTGCTCCTGATGGATCACACACAAAATACAATTACAAGCTTTTGCCTGGTAGCACCAGTGGGACAGAAAATGACTTCTATATCATTCATGGACAGAAACACACAGCAGGATTTGCATGTAGAGCTGAAAGACGAAACCCAGAGGTCTTCACTGATTACAGTGAACCAAAGTTTGTCTGGTCTGCAGGTCAGTTCTGTGTCTCTTCAGTCAATAACTACAGATGTGATCATTTTGTTTGGTCATGATATTCTCAACAACTCACTATCTTGGCAGCAACAAGTAATTTTGACAATGTTCTGACAATGATTCATGCGATACATGTGGTAAAATAATTGATCATTGGTAAAAAATAATAATAATAATAATCTCAGTCAATGTGAATTAAAAAAAATCACCAGTAATCTCATTTTAGCAATGTTGAAAGGGTAGACACAATCTTGAGTAAAAATAAATATTTTTCATTGGTCTCAAACTTGTTTTTTTATGTCCTTGTTTCTTAAATGTCAGATTCTCACCCAGCAGCAGCTCTCACAGTGAGTCCTGACAGAGAGAAGCTTTTCACTGTAGATGACGTCCTGCTGAGTTGCCAAGGAAACCCTGCTGGGTGGAGAGTGATGAAGTTTGAAAAAACTGAAAAGTCGTCATATTTATCCCACTGCTCCAGCTGGGGGACACTAACTGGATCCTCCTGCACCATTAAAAGTCGCTGGTCCCATAAAGCAGTGTACTGGTGTGAGTCTGAAACAGGAGAGTTCAGCAATGCAGTCAACCTCACGTTACACAGTAAGTTCTTCGTTTAGTTTTAAAGCCTATAGCATTGGTTTTATTTGTCACTCCTGACAATGTATCCTGTCCAGATCAGCAGTTCATAATGAATAGACCACATATTAATATTAAACATCATCAACAGGCTGTTACAGAGCAAATCTGACAAAAAAAAACAAAAAACCACAAGATTAGATCTAGTTCAAAAATCCCCAGCAGTGTGACAAAGAGGGTCATAGTAATGCAACGAAGCTGTTGTAAAATATATTTGATAGTAATAAAGACACAGATCCATAATTTCACAAATTATTCATTTTATTTCTCCAAAAGTTACACAATGTTCATTACTGTTTTATTAAAGGTTGTTTTGTTTTTTTTTTACTAATCAGAACAAACATATTAAGATGTTTGCAAAAGTGGTTGCAAAATATCTGTTGTAATGACAAATACTGCAACTATGCTGCAAACCGGAGAATGCTGTCAAGTGTTATGATTTGCTTTTGTTCTTGGTTTTTATTTTATATTTTTTGAAGACTTTTCTCAGCTCACAAATAGATTTAATATGTGTTTGTCCAACAGCACCAGAGTCCATCCTCACTGTGTCTCCATCATGGCTGAATCCTGGAGCCTCAGTGACTCTGAGCTGTGAGGTTAAACCTTCATCTGCAGGATGGAGGATCTACTGGTATAAAGCTGTTCCTGATTTATCAAAGAACAACTACAGATATGAGCTGCTGCCTGAAAGCATCAGTGGGTCGGTACAGGACTCCATTATTGTTCATGGACAGAAAAACACAGCAGGATTTGCATGTAGAGCCAAAGGAGGAAACCCAGAGGATTTCACAGATTACAGTGAACCACAGTTTATCTGGTCTGCAGGTCAGTGTGTTTCTGTTCTCTCCTGTGTTGGATGAGAAAGTTTTAATCTTCATTTAGCCCATATAGTGATTTTGTGGCTATTTTTTTTGGCATAAATTATATTTTTGCATCTTTATTTAGCAGCTTTAAAATCAAAACTAACTTTCTATGTTTTAGTTAGAAGTAATTGTAAGAACATGTGGTTATTTAACTACTGTCACATGTGTAATTACTTACTAATCATGATTTGTAAAAAGTTCAGTCAAGAATCAGAACCAGTCAGTGGTTCAGATTCTTGGTATCAGAAAATGATACACATTTGCATGATGAAGTATTCGTGGGATCTGACAGCATCTGTCATTGAGTATTTAAATAAATCATTACTAACAGAATTATACTGATATAAGTGCTTAAACACAGATTTTAATGGGTACTTTAAAAGGGTAAAATAAAATAAGTTGAGCTGAAGCAGTTTTATTAGACAGAATATAAAAGCATGGAATGTTTTAAACAGATGTTCAATAACTAAAGACGATATCAGTGAAGATGTTTGTTGGCTGCTTGTATTGATTATTTCCTCCATGTTGTTCTTCAGATCTTCATCCAGCAGCGTCTCTCTCAGTGAGTCCTGACAGAGAGCAACACTTCACCACTGAGTCTGTGACACTGAACTGTGGAGGAAACTCTGCTGAGTGGAGAGTGAAGGAGTTTAGAGAAATAAACCAAGAATCATTTGTATCAGACTGCTCCAACTGGGGGAATATGACTGGATCCTCATGTACCATTAACCGTGACTGGTACCATAAAGCAGTGTACTGGTGTGAGTCTGAAACAGGAGAGTTCAGCAATTCAGTCAACATCACTGTACAGAGTAGGTTATTTTTTTTCATGTTGTGCTATTTTTTTTAAATACATTGTTACATCCTTTGGTGTAAAAGCAAGGGATGGATGACTGTAGAGTCTTTGCTGTTCACTGGTGGTAATAGTGTAACTATGTCAAAACTAGAAACCTTGTGTAACTATGTTTCCATCTAACTGATTTCAGCAAAAATACAACAAACGAAAAAAATCCATGTCTTCATTTAATTTTATCAATGGAAAATAATTTCCAAATGTCCTCTAATTGTCTCCAGCAGCTGATTTCTGACTGAAGCTTCATTTTCTCTGTCTGGTTTCCAGATGAAGATCTTCTCCTGGTGAGCCCCGTCCATCCTGTGACTGAAGGAGCTTCTGTTACTCTGAGCTGCAGACTGAGAGGAGAAAACAAACTTTCTGATGTGATTTTCTATCATAATGACAAACTGATCCAAAATGACAGCAGAGGAGAGCTGAAGATCTCTGCAGTGTCTCAGTCAGATGAAGGTTTCTACAAGTGTGAACATTCAGGAGAAGTTTCACCTCAGAGCTGGATGGCAGTTAAAGGTGAACAGAGTTCGTGTTTTTTATTAATCTTGACTTAAGGAAACATTTTGAAAATTAAATGTAATATTAATATTAGTTATTTTTAATCACAGCAGCTGCATCCAGAACTGAAAGCTCTTCATTTCCTTTGCTGCTGGTTGTTGGGACAGTCAGTGGAGTAGTCTTCATTCTTCTTCTCCTCCTGCTGCTGCTGAGTCGCTTCAGGAACTCCAGAGGTGACACTTTCTTTCTCTTAAGCTGCATTATGTTTATTTAATGTATCCAGACATAGTGTTGAATATTCTTATATTTCAAAGCCACTGTACAAATCTTTGAAACAATCATGAAACAAATTATCTCTTTTTTTACATTCATGCTGCCTCTTGCAGTCAGTATGACTTTATTTTCTAAACATCTTAATCATAAATCATCAGAACTTTCTGTGTTTACAATACGTTGTATGTTTGAACACTGGTTCAAGCGATAAAAAATAGTTAATAGTTCCCTAAAAATAGCTTGTGTTTAAACTGATTAGCATCATTATATATTTTTCTTATATTATTATTATGGCTTGAGCATCAGGAAAGTTTTGACTTCTATTGATTTTAGGTCAAACGTGGATTTTGAAAATAGCTGTATCTGTTGGTTACTCCAATAAAAAGTAAAACAAAGACACATAAACACTGTAGTTTTTTTTTTTTTTTTTTTTTTTACTGTTCTACTTTCTATCATGTATTTAAGGTGAAGTTGTGACAAAATATATTCTTTGTTGGCTTTAGGCTCTGATTGTCTGGGACCCTCTGAAGGTTCTGGAAATGGTATTGTTTACATTTTGGAGAGAAAACACATGAAAATTTCAGTCTGAGTCCAAGTGAATGACAGAAACTCTTGATTTGTTTCAGATCCACGTGAATTCCAACATATCACTTATGCTCTTGTTGACTTAAAACATGGTGAAAAAAAGGGTGAGTTTGTTAAACACATACTTTGTGAAAAATGTTATGTTTCTCAAAGGTTTAGACTGTATTTAACGCAAGTCGGTGTGTGGATATTATCAGGTGAGGCTGGGGAACCAGTGGGGGGCGCTGTTTACTCTGTTGTGAAGACAGGAGCTACAGGAACGTTCAGTGATTCTGAAAAAGTCTGTCAGGTAATTCTCACAACAGTTTTTAAGTTACACACATCTGAGACCTTCAAACACACCGATTGATGTTTTTATTTCTTAAATGTTCCGACCTTATTCTTTTTTTTTTCTGTAATGATCCACTACAAAATGTACAGAACCGTGTTTTTAATTTGTAAACTTTATACAGTTTGTGAATATTTTTCATCATCATTTTGGGTTAAAAACAAGCTTTGCGGAGCTTTTTGAAAAACAAAATAATTGATATCAATTATTAATTTTATTGCTTACATTTGTTTTCTCTCTTCATTCACAGGAAAACGAAGCATTCACATTAGCATTAGCTAATGTAGCGGTTTATCCGGAAGTGAAGCACAGCTCTGGATAAAGACTGAAGACACCGGATGTGACATAGTCTTGCTCTTACATCTCCAGTTTAACTGTCATTCAGTAATTTTCTGTCCGTTTGCAGTGTGTGCAAACAGATAAAATCAGATTTGTTAGAGATTTTTTGGTATTATCATTTTGTTATTACTTTAGTTCATATTCAGTCTAATGTTCAGTATTATTGTGATTTTCAGTTTAAAGTGTTCTCTTCCTTATGTGTGTATAAACTGACCTGGGGGCCCCATCTGTCTGTTCGTCTTCATGTGAAACAGTTAACTGTGTGTTTCCCAGACCTTAAATTATTTTTCCACAGGTGCCTCCTTATCAACCGGAATACTCCCTACCTTAGAAACTGTCTGTGTGCAGTAGTATTTTGTCTCTGCTGTCTTCCTTACCTATCCTCCCTCTTTTTGCTTGATAATAAAAGACAAGCTGTAACCAAGGGTCTTTAGAACGCTCTGTGAACGGCTCGGAGGAGCAGTTTACTGAGTCTTCTCCTTTTGCAAAAGCTTCGCCATAAAATTCATATACGTTGTCTGTGGTTCTTTTATGAAGGTTCGAGAAAAATACTTATCAAGATTCAATGCTTATGGTGGGATTTTTAGGCTCAACCTAAACTCTAATTTCAATTTTGATTAGAATTATTTTTTCTTTGTATGAATCAATCAGCAATTTTTTTTTCACTCTTGATTTAAAAAGAATAAACGAATAAGCTTCCCACATGCATAGAAATGTTTAAAGCAGCAGGTGTTAAAATGTCCAAAATCTTACATGTCCTCGATTCTCTGAATTTAAATCCACATATTAAAGTTGTATTTCATCTATTTTGCCAGTGTTTTTAAAAGTTTGCTTTATTTTCTTCTTCACTTTCTATTAATTTGAAATAGTTATCTCTGTTTTGGGTC